CTATAATTCCTAATAATTTTATTATTTTTGACAAACAATAACCGTAATAAATAAATAAGAAATATTACTAATAAAAAAATTGTAAAAGAAATCCGTGCTATAATTCTATAATAAATAAATTTAGGACCATACAAATCCAATATTAACTCACCTACTAAAGAAGAAAATATGGATAATAATGACAATTAAAGCGGTGGACTAAATGATTGACGTTCCTGAAAGGTGCTTTATTTTTGTTGGTATTTGATAAATTTTAGTGTTATAAAAATTAACGTTAACTACTGACATCTGGTAAAAAACAAAATTTTAGTTAAAATAATACGTAAATTATTTTCGATTTTCTACAAACTATGAGCTAAAGCAAGATCATTATTTTTATCTCCTCTAATAAATATGTATTTGTGTTTTGTACCAACATCTAATTGTAAAACTTATTATACCTACATATATGTCCTTGGTCTATCTGGCCAAAGTATTGAATAAAATGTCGCCAGAAAAAAGTGTATTTTATGTAACTGTTTTTAGTTACACAAAATGCTCATTATGACACCGAAAAGTTATTTTGATCCCAAATAACTGTCTTATATTTATTTTGCATACATTGCATATATGAATTTTGTCAAAATAACTTTCACAATTTAACAAAAATGTTATAAATAAAAGTAATTTAACTTTTCAATCGATTAGACTGACTATTGAGATTGGTATCATGAAAAACAAAAAGCCAAATTATCGTTTTATTAAAAACATTACTGATTAGATTAAAAGATACTTATAATTTGACTCTTCGAAGTTTTGGTGCAGTTTAATGTTAAAGGCTGATCTAGAAAGAAGTGTGTGTAATTTTTCAATGCAATGAAGACTTTAATATTTATTATTACGTTTATTATCTCTGTATGTTTGTCTCAAACGAGTGAGTTGATTAATTTTTAATTATTTAAAATAATGTCTGAAGTGAGTCATTAAATGTAATTACTTTTTAACTAAAAATGCGACAATCAACAAGCCGGGTAAAAAATGTCTAGGTACGACTAGTTTAGTAAAAAGGTACTTTCCAGAGGCAAAATTATTAAAAAAAATCAAATACACTGCCTTTTAAACAAACTTATTTAGCATTTAAATCAGCGTTATTAACATGTTGTTTAAGATTAGATAAATCCGGTTATTAATTCAATTTTATTGAAAATATTAGAAGTTACAGATTTTCTATTTTATTGCAGATAGTTTATTAATGTATGACGTATTTTACAAAATTAATTTATTATCGTTAGGTATACAGGGTGTTAAAAAGATTGTAAAATATTTCAGGAGGTAATAATATGGACCAAAACAAACAAAAAGTCTTAATAAACTTGGGGCCGCAAAGTAACGGTTTCGGATATATCGAAGATTATTCGTTTTTTGAAACATTTATTTGCAATTTGTTCAAGCTTTTAGTAAAAATTGTAAATTTTTCACATTCCATATCTCCGAAACCGTTACTTTGGAGACCCATGTTTATTATGACTTTTTTGTTTGTTTTGGTCCATATTATTACCTCCTTAAAGATTTTATAATCTTTTTTTAACACCCTGTATGTAAAACCTGTATTTATCTCTGTATGTGGTAAAATTGGAAATGAAAAGATAAATATGATTAGACTGTACTTGTCATCTGAAATTTTCTCGATCTATTTTATATCCTCATTGATTACATAGTTATTTCATGACTAGCATAAGATTCTTCACCTTAAAAAAGAACAATTTCAAATTTATTATCATCTGACTAAAATTTTGAATTGTGTATTGTAGGTATGTTTTTTTTACTAAAATAATTTCTTAATTTTTTCAGCCACACCATGTCAAAGTCAGTTTGAAAATAACTCGAACATTGATTGGATAAGCGGTCTGATGAAACAAATACAGAATGACAATGAAACTTTAAATTTATCATTTGGTTATACTGGGAACTTAAGTATTTTTTCTAGTTATTTTCTTAAAGCAAACAAAATGATATTTTTTTTGTAGTAATAGAAGCAGGTGACGAATGTGATGAATTTGGTCCAAAATACATAGACATACTGACAGACAACAATCAACTAATTTTTAGAACTACCGAAAGCTGGACAAAACTAGAAGAAGATCCAGACATTAGGTCAAAAATTCAAAGCAATGAAATAACATTTAGCCGTAAACTGTAAAACTAACTTGTGATAATGATGAGAAGAATTCTTTGGTAAACAACAGTTTTGAAAATTTTATACATATAACTAACTATATTTTAAGCAATTTATTATATACATCGATGACACAAATAACCACGATCCAATTTTTGATAAAGAAAAGTACGATTATGTAATGCCTATGCCTTTGATGCCAAATATCGATTTAACAGGATTCGGCGACGATATAACAGTTACAGATTATGATTTTACCAATAAAGATGTAACATTTACCATTGATGATAAGGATTTTGAAGTTAGAACAAAGCACGACTCGTATTCCAACACTTACCAAGCTGTTCTGAAAGTTAAAAATTACAAATACCTTTCAAAAAACTTGACGACACTATCTCTCACAGCAACTGTAAGTATAGATTTACATTTTAATCAAAAAATTATTTAGTGACTTAGGATTCAGGAGAGCCGCCACGATCACAAATAACTCAAATTCAAATAAAAATTGATCAAAGCAATAGTTTGAACTGTACCGAAGCTTCATATCAAATTGAGTACTCGATTGACTCTAATAAAAATAATAATAATAATAATAATATATTTCAGGTAACTACACATAGTAAAGGAACCGTGTGTAGAGACCACGTCAACAGATACAATTAAAGTAGAACTTAAAATCTACAAATTATCGAAAAATTCTTGAAAATTATAAAATTATTGTAAAAAAAAATTAAATTATTGTATATTGTGTTTCCCAGTAGTAACTTTTTTACATTTACCTTAAATACATAAACATTTGCCGAACATTTGATTTCCTTTCATAATTTATTAAAAAATTTGCAACAGTTATAATTTATACTTTTCTTTTCAATTCTATGTTTATTTAAAATCAAATATTCTTTCTGGTGTTATAGGCGTCATTATCACTAGTATCTTTGAATTTGACTTTATTTTTGAAAACGAAGCACACTGCTTCATATATAAAAGTTAAAATATTGAGTGTTTTAAATGCCTCTCTACAGGAATCTGCCTTTTTTAATTGTGCAAGAATTCGGACAGTCCTCTTTTGTAATCTAAATATTTTATGGATACTTGAAGAACTACCCCAGTTCCCATACCGCAACAAATTATGAAACATACCAAAATAGAGTTGTTTAACCATATCTTTACAAGTTTTAGAAGCCGCTGAAAGGGCATAATACGTTTTGCAGAGTTTTGTATATACATTGTCAACATGTAGTGTCCAACGTAAAGTCGCGTCAATAGTTAGTCCTAACATGGTCACATCGTTTACACAGGAAAGAATAATGGAATCATCCAATACCAAATCATTTTTTACATTTTTTGATTTAGAGCTAAATATCATACAATTTGTTTTTTGATGGTTAAATAACTATTATTTATTACCCTCGACCCAGACATTTATTTTATAATATACCTCCGTAAGAACTGTCATCGCGTCTCGTATATTATTGGTAGTAATCAAAAAATTTGAATCATCAGCATAAGATACTATGGTACAACTAGAATTAGAAATATATTTAAACATGTCATTTATAAAAATCAAGAATAATGTCGGTCCCAGTATCGAAAATTTAAACAATTACAATCTCAATCTTTTCTAAAAATTATTTTCTCAAATAAATATGTGTACCCCAGTTTTTGAGGTAGCAAAAAATAATTAAAATGAACAGCTTAATTTGTCATTATTAATGTGATTAAATTTGTACTGAATGACATTAATGACACTTTTTGTGTAAATCGGCCTTTAAATTAAAGATGCATTTAGACTTCTACAACCTACTTGATGCACATAAATATGAAAAAGAGTATATTTCACCTCAAAAACGCAGTTGCAACGTTGCAAAAGTGACGATAGCAATGGCACTAGGTGTATTATTGTTTACTACGTGATTAACGTAAGAAAAGTTGGTGATTGATCCCACGTTTAAAATACATAAAAGTTACTTTACTTCTGACCACATAACAAAAGTCATAGTCATTCATTCATTACTGCGTCATAAAAATGAAATTTGTCCTTCAAGTTTTATCTCATGTTAATAGTTGAATGACAGCTAACAATGTAAATGTCACACTTTATGCATTATTGTCAACATACCAGACATAATGATTGTATAGTAGTGGAAAAATCTTTAAAAAGTACTGAATTTGGCAATGATTTGACAATGATAAAACACATTTTTTACATTTTTATGTCTTATCGACGATTTGTACCCACAACACAACCGACGATAAAAGTCCCCTACGTAACAATTGACATTTCTTTTTCTGTGGAAAGATATCAGGAAGGTGATCTTTCTTTGTTTCATTCTAGAGTAAATTTCGTATTAACCTCGTCCGAATGATTGCCCACCTATTCCAGGTAAAAGTCAACGACTGGAATGCCGACTCATATCTCTCATCTTTTTTTTTTAAAGGCATTTCTCATCCGGCCTTAACGCCCTCATCATTTTTTATAATTCGTTGAGAGTTACCAACCGTCGTTTTAAAAATTTCCAAAAATGACAGTTAAATTCCGTTAATGTCAAAAATTCGTCATCAGTGATGTGAGTGAATTCTTGGAAAGTGAATGACATCTTGAAAAAACCAAGTTGTACACTTGTTGACGAGGGTGTCTTCGACGGGCATTACCATTGACCAGGTACAATAATGAACCCATATGATCAAAACACGCCGAGGTGGGGTGTCCAAGGGGCTGCGTCAATACGCGAGTCGGGCCCCCTTCGCGCAATCCCCACGTGGTGTCCCTCCCCTCCGGGCCCAGCCGGCATTACAGCAGCGACCGGTTCTCGCGCCAACAGAGCTCATTGTAACGCGAATCGCGGACGAGTACGTATCGCACACCGATAGTTTGTTTGTTGTTGTGTGCTCAAGTTGTTTCACACTGTAGTTTTTTGTAGTGTGCGCCCCCAGGACTAACTGACATTCAGGAGGCTCATAGATCGCATGGCGACTACAAGGTGAGGCCCTCGCCGGGGTGGTTAACCCGATCTTTCCGTTTTTCGCCGCAATGTTGGCACCGGTGGAACAAAGGCGATGCGATTTTACATTTGAATTCTTGGTGTTTTAACGGTTCGCGCCCGTTCAAGGACGATATGCACAGACGAAAGTTATTTATATAAATGATCAGTTGATGTGTCTTGTCGCTGCTTCTTAATCTTCACCACCGACGGTTAATAACGATACACACTTTATTATGTTCGCGCCTATTAACATGTTAATATTAAGGTAATCGATTTTTTCCTCATCTGGACGTTTTTATCGCAAACATGACACAACTGTACAACTATCGCTGATATTTCCCAACTGCGTTTACCTTGTCACGTCCAGACCGACCAATCACCGATCCTTTGTTTCACAGACAAAACACCATTTTTCTGCATTTTACAAAAACTAAAGGAACTAAATTGACAAATTTATACTATTTTCAACTACTTAGTCAAAGGTGCCATGAAAATTCGTTAACTCAATAACTGTCAAATTGACTGGGTGACTGTTAATTTGTTACAAATATCAGCTTGTTTCAACTGACGGCTATGCCATTGGCAATTGCTTCTGAAATTTAAACGTTTGATTTTTACAGTTTAGATTGCCAACGTGACGACAAAAATTATAATCATTTATACAGAGTTTTTTATTTTTGAGTATACAATGTAAATAGCCCTATGTTCAATTTTAAATAGACCATGTTAATCCATTGCAGGGTGCAAAAAATGTATGAAGGTTATAACAAAACAACTTATAATTACAGGCAGTTAGAGCGTAACAAAATTTCAAGTAAGTTGCTCTTAAAACGTAGTTTCATTTAAGAAACAATTGTCAAAATGTTGTTATGTTGGTTAAACTTATACGTTAACAACTTATCGTGAATTTCAAATTCACGATTGGCAGCTCTGCTTACAACTGTTATTGTTATTTGACTCATTTCATTCCGCTTGATTCAGTAGTTGGAGGTGATTTTAAATTATAGGCTTGAATTACTCTTTTATTTTGTGTTTTAATTGTGTCTTTCTTTTAAATTTCTACAAATAAAACTGACAATTGACAGGATTGAACCTCACTAAACTGTATATAGCTGGTAAGCTGGTCTACAATTCGCAATTGTTTATTTCATGAAGCAGACTTTACTTTTTTTTTTGTAATCTAAAATCTAATAAGTATATGTTTTACGGTATGTTTTACGGAAGACATGAGTATACAGGGTGTGTCAGAACTCGCGCCCCAGAGAAAAATTTCAAGTAAGATAAAATACCAGTACCATGGAAAAAATGTTTAAAAAATTCTATCTGTCAAAAAATTTTTACATTTATTTTTTGACATTTGACATTTTTTATGTCTATTTAATGATGTTGATGTTCTTGTATATCTTTTTTTATAATTATTTAGTAAAGATACAAAAATTTTGCCAATAAAAGCCACAAATAACATTAAACAGGATTACAATTTAGCATACAGCTTCCTTGTTTCCTCTTCAAATAGCCTGTAGCAAAAAAACTTGAGAAATTATTTTTTCAAAGTAATAAATAGAGTCAAAGTGCAAAATTTAAATTCTTATAACTTCGAAATTTTTATAGATAGAATTTTTTTAAACATTTTTTTATTTCCTGATTTCTTACCTTACATGAGTTTTGGCGCACCTGTATGCAATTGAAAACTGGTTGTTTTTTAAGTATAAAAATATATATATTTTTTGAAAAGAAATGAAAGATTTGCCTAATTTGAAATCGCAGAATGAGGATTTCGCATGCGGGTATTAATATTTGAAATAAGTGAATTTATGGTAGGAATAGCTCGTGAGTAATTATTGATATTGTATCTAATAAGACAAAAATAACTTCGTTTATCAGATAAAGACTTTTTTTAACTGGTCATAAATTTTACAATACAATAGATACGGTTTTGTCCATAATGATAATCCTCTACTTCTTTTGAGGGGATTTGAAACAGGTAACAAACCATCTTAACACAATTATTAAGTTACGTCAAAAGCCATTGGTATTTCTTTGTTAAATTATTAGATTTGATTAAACTTTTCATAACCCATTTAATTTATATTAATTAAGTTTGCCGGTTTCTGAGTGCAAAGCTTGCTTCATCCAAACAAACAATATTTACTTTTTAGAGTTGATAATTGTTCGATAGTAGGTTTATCGCAAATTCATTCATCTCGACGCGACGTGAAAAAAATCGTCTGGTTTACCAAAACTCTTGAAAAAAATGGGGAGGAAGTTGGTGTTTTTATCGGGAATCACTCACTAAGTTATTTTTCACAATGGCGCGCCCCGCAGTGATTAACAAACGGTTCGTTTCTTTGTCTGTATTTTCCTTAAACCGCTTTTCTTTTGATTTATTAATATGTGGTCTTTAAATAGAAAAACGTTGGCGTATCTCATTGTTATGTTTATGGTTTAGTTATGTAAATATAGATATAAAATTTAGGTTCACAATTTTCACACAGTGCGCTTGCTTATCTAAGAGCAAATACCGGAGCGAACGCGATTATAGCTTTTTTCCCGATCTCTCGTTTAATCTTTTTTAACAGGAAGGAAAACAAATGTGACATCCGTTGATGAATAAAATAATCTTGGTCGTGCGTTTTATCTTTTCTTTTGTTCCCTTGTTTCCGTATGCGCAGTTTCAAAGTGTCCTTAAATTTCTATAACTGACCTCGACTACCGCGCCTACATTATTCTTTATTATGTCTTGTGGAACCTATCGGACATGTGTGTAATATCGAATTACGCCAACAATTCCATATCCATACCAACAATGCTAATACCGAGATCAAACAGCCGTGAAACTGTTGTGTAATTTTTAATTATTAATCTAACACCAAATTGCGTGATTATGTTGAAAATGCGCCGAGATGATCTCATGGGATTGCTGATGGTACTTTTTGAAAGTGAAAGTGGTTTTTGTCGTGACCTTTATCCCCTTCTCTCGAATTTGACCATACATAGGAATGGGATCAGTTGGTGCATCAACCAACTCCAGTAAATGATATAATGCCAAAAAACAACGCCTATTTTGCTGCTTCTTCTACTTTATTAATGTTCAGGATTTTACTCAGATGAAGCGAAAATATGGGACGTTTTACGGGATTGCATCTGCCGGAAGTTGTGGTCTTTTTCCTTACACGTGGCGGGAATGTGTTATGATTGATGAAATTTCTTGTACATAGAGGCGGTCGTCGACGCCTTTTCAAGGTCTCGTAATTAACAATTACACCAAGAACTGAAGAAAAAACTCTCATTGTTTTCACTATCTCGCTCTGGTCGGTGTGTGGTCGAGGTGATGTAGCTGACAGATCGTTCTCTTCTTTTTCACTATAAGTACCAACTCAATTAATGACCAATGGTTGGTCGTCTTAAATGGTCTGGGGAATTTATGAGATATTTCGTACCGAATTCGTCAAAGCGTCGGCTTGAGTTAAGACAGGGCTATGATAAAATAACGCACAAAATTTATAAAACCGAATGTTTATTTTTGAAAAAATACATAAATATGTCAAAAAGGTATTTAGAATAAATTCTTGTGTTTACTTTATCATGACGTCAAATTTTTACAAATTGACGAAATTTTTTTGACATATGTTTGCATTTTTTTGAAAAATTAACACTAGGTTTTACAAATGTGTTATTTTATCATATCCTTGTATACAGGGTGTTTACGGTCTTAAATGAAATGAAAGGAAATGATTCATTTTATATTATTTGTTTGAGAACTGCTGCTTTAGCTTCAAAAATGGCCATCGGTATCATTACCCTGTGTTTTATCGTAAATCACGACAACCAATTTATTATTTTAATATTTGCGATCCATGTCCATAAATTTGGAAAAAAAAAGAAAAACGAATCAAACCTACTGCTAGAAGAAATTAAACTGAAGTTCTTCGAATTTTGATAAAAACTACAGTAAAAGCGAATCAAATGATGACAGTGTCAAAAGTATAAAGTGACTTTTCTCTTTTATTGTCATAGATACGATTTTTTTATTTGTTACAACAATACAATTTTATCTGAACAAGGAAATAATTCCAGTGATCCTCAAACCGTGTACCAATATTTTGGAGTTAAATAACATTCTTAATAATAACAATCGTGTGAGTTTTTTCTCGGTTACAGTATTTCTGTACTCTTCTATTATTAGGTCCATTTTCAACTCTAAGACCGTAAACACCCTGTATACACCTACAATTTTCAAATAATACAATATTTCTCTATGGTACGCATATAAATATTGTTTATTGTTTTGCACAAAATATCTTCATTTTTTTAATAAACGTTACCCGGATAAAAAGTTTGTTTATCATGATTGGTGGTGACCTATCGCAGCATTACTTAATTTGCAGGAACCATCAGTCACGAACAAAATGGGTGATAAAACTGTCAATCTGCAATTACCTGAATATGTTGTTATTACACTCGTAAACATTTACGCAATCTCCTTTCATACTAAGCTTTATTATGCGTTCTATAGGGAATTGTTAGATGGCTGGGAATTTATGCAACAGTATGTCATCTTTTATATTAGAATTAAATTTCCTTTATTTGTTGTATATGTTAGCATAGTTGCATCAACAATGATAAGAGAAATCAAAACTGATAAAAGAAAAGTGCAATCAGTTGGAATGGAAATTTTTCCGCTTAGAGCTTTGTTTGAGATTTAGTACTCCTACAGTACACCTCTAATTATAACGCTCGAATGACTTATTGACTGCGTGATATCATATATTCATTACAAATATTATTTTAAGGTGCTTCCAAATATGAACCCAGTAGAGAAGCGCAAGGTGTCCAACTGGTCTCCATATAGCAATAATATACACGGGGGCCTCTTGAGAGATACTCACCTTCGTATGCGACAAACTTTCACTTTCGAAACATAACTTTCCTACTTTATGTATCCAAATCTAATTACCTAATTTGGTAAGTTTTGAGTTGAAGGGTTGGTGTTGATT